TGTGTTGGAGGATAAATTTCCTCTGAGAGTCACCCGGTATTAGAGATCTGCTCACATCCACTGGAAGGGACATAGAGCTGTAGGCACAGCAGCTCATGATTCGTCCGTCTGCTGCCAGTGCTCCCTGTGTGCACGTCTCTCAATTCTCCCAGCCTAAAGTTTATTTTCCACGGCTGTCGGTAGCTAGCGTCAACACTACTAGAGGAACGTGAACATATGCTTGACATTGGCAAGAAAGGGGTTAATTTTACCGGAGAAGTACGAGAAGAATTGCAAGACTGACAAGGCGAAGGGTAGAAATCCTAACTTCAAGTCCAGGCTCTCCCACCGGCTTGGGAACTTTGGCCAAATCTTTTTTTAGAAAGAAAGGGACATCTCTTGTCAAATGCAGAGCATCCTCAGATGGAGCATAAGGCTGCAATAGGAGCCCGACTCTCAGAGACAGTGTGGCTTCTGGTTTTTCATCTTTGTTCTTCGGAGTTTGGGTGCTGATCTAGGAAACATAAAATCCTGCCACTTCTAACACATGATTTCTCTTCTCACACGATGGATTCACTTTCTATAAAATTTGACTTTAAAGAGAGTAGTTGTTTTTCAGTTTGAGACCTTTAAAAGACATATTCAAAGCTCTACAGTCATGGCAGGTTTATTTTGTTGTTGTTGTTTGGTCTTTTGTTTGCTTTTTGCTTGTTTATTTGCTTGTTTGGTTGGTTTTTCAAGACAGAGTCTTTCTGTGCAGCCCTGGCAGCCCCGGAACTCACTCTGTAGACCAGGCTGGCCTCGAACTCAGAGATTCGCCTGCCTCTGCCTCTCAAGGGCTGAAATGACAGGCATGCGCCCCCACCGTCCAGCTTCATCACAAGATTTTAGAGGTCGAGTTTGGAAACTGTTTCTCAGTGAATTAGAGCTCTTGTCAGGCTGGCGTGAGGCTTGGGGTTAACTCCAAACACCAAAGATAAGTTCAAAAACTACTTAAAAACGAAAACTCCAAAATTCATATTGAACTTCTTGATCCCTTAAAAACTTATAGGAGCCTTGAGAAGAAAAGTGAGATTATTCTGGGTTATCAAACATCACATATTTTCCCTAAATTTTACAAAACTTGATTTAGTAACAATTTTCACAAGGACCCAGTGACTAGCATGTAGCAATAGTGAAATCATCTTTCACAAGTGGAAATCAGAACCCAAGTTACTGGCAGTACACTTGACATTATTCTGTGGGTACCCATAAACTAAAGCCTGCAGTTCAGCCCTGCTCTGACTATGACGGCAAATGTCAGTCTGTCTTTCCGATGTGATTTGTGTTTTTAGAAGGAAACTCATCTCAGCACAGCAATGCGCTCACATTCCTATGCTCTTCCTAGACTCCTCTGGCTCAAATCCGCAGCATTTCAATGACTGTTGGATCTATGAATTCACTGTCACGCACACACCATTTTCGCTCTTGAGCTGAAAAAAATACCCATTGGTTTCTCTTACGCACTGATCTGGGCCCAGAAAGCCCAAACCCATGCTATCACAGCAGACATACCCAGTGGTTAATCTCTAGTTATACACTGAGTGTATAACTCAGTGCATCTCTCCTATACTATACCTTCAATTAATAGGCTTTAGCAATAGGCAAATATTAAAAGTGATAGATAGGTCAATGTCAACATGTAATAATTTATTACTGAAAACCAGTGGAAACAAAAATTTTCCTGTATCTTTGCACAGAACACCAACTAGTGTTCTTCTACCTTCTCATGCCAAAACAGGCATCAGCTGACGGCAGGATCCTGGGCCATTTTACTAACTCAGGGCATATGACTGTTTCATTGAACACGGAGTCTGGGGAAAAAATTCTAATTACGGCCAAGGATCTGTCTTATCACTTAGAACTGCTCATCACAAAGCAATGTCAGGGCGGGATCCACTTAGGTTAATGGTAAAGTCAACACCCCAGTCTCGGGTCAGCGTGAAATGCTGCTGATGCTTGGCAGTGATCATAAGCACACCATTAAGCACTATTGTATTCACTCTGATGATACTGACACTCTTGGAATTCTTCTTGATATTGGACACCTGAATGTGCAGGGGTTTTGACCTGAGGTCTTGTTTGCGAGGCTGTCTTTGAGTCACCTTGCTACATCAAACACTGAAATAATAATACATTCCCCACATCGGTTTTCAAGTTCAAGACTAGGTCTCAATTCTTCAACCATCACCCTGTTTCCTCTCACTGGGTCTTCTTTAATAAGATCAGTTATTTGATTTCAAAACATGCCAGTGTAAGAGCTAGGTCTAAAACTCAGTCAGTAGCATTTAAAGGATGTGAACTAAATCTGAATTCTGGGTCGCTCCATCATTAAGTCTGGGACTTTGGGCAAATGGCTTAATGGCCTTATCCTTGGCAGGGAGATAATGATGCAGCGGGAATGTAAGGCATGCCCCTCGTGCGGTTATTGCAGTAAGCAAGTGAAAGTATGCAACCTGGAGAGCACAGCAGTTGCTTTATCTAGTGATGCCCAATGAGGGGAGAACTAGCAGCCCGGTGGAGACAAAGAGGGCTGGGGACTCTAGAGAGGCATGCAGTGGCATGTGGCAGTCCCTCAGAAAGCAATCACTCCCGTGTACTCTAGTTGCGGCTGGCATCCTGCTCTCCAGGCTGCTCACACTGTCACCCAAGTGCTGGTGACAAAATTGACACTCTAACAAAACTTTCGTCCTTTGTCGTGGATCCCGGCTTTGCTGCAAAGTGACGAGCTAGCCCGTCCCTCTTCAAAAGTGTAACTTGTTAGAGTAGGGTTCAATCCTCTAGTTGTATTCAACATTTAATGGCATGAGACCTCAAATAACACAGTCGGGTGGCACAAAGTACAAACATGTCACATACTTCCAAAGCACACAAGGATATAGCTATCCAGTTTAAATTTGCACGTTCACATGTGTACGTTTGCACAACACAATTCAAGGTAAGGCAAACACACTCTTGAAACAATTATATCCCAGGGTTCTTAGTCTGAAGCCTTCCTTTCAGGTGTGAGTATAATGGTGGAATTTGTTCTTTCCACAGAGGCCGGATGTTTAGAGAGATTCTACTTAACTGGGCTTATTTTAGCTAGAAATAAGAGACCTCCCCAGTTTAGCTTGACAGTATATTCAATAAGAGTCCATCTACATTGCTAGACTCATGAAGGCTTCCTTCTATGTGCTGTCTGTGTTAGTGAGAGAAGATAGACACAATTAATTTGGAAACAATCATTTTTATACTAGACTCTGACACTGTCTCCCACGTCAACAACAATAAAAGAATTATACTACACATGATACACTCTACGGGCACACAACACTAGAGACTGCTTGAACGAGATTACACAGTGAGGTCACACATCTTATTCTCCATTATCTTATGACTGTGAGTGGAGCAGGTTTGAAACTGCGGCATGTAAGGGACGAAGGTCTTCTTAGCAGAAGTTCCTAAATTCAAGTTATTTTCTACAAAGTGTGAGCAACTGTCCTGGAGGATTCTGATGTCACTAAACAGACAGTGGGCTGGGAATGGGCACAATACTCCTGAATCATCCGTCAAAAACATATCAGTCTCTCTTTTCTTGATGGAGGTGACCCCCAAATAATAGACAGACTTCTCACTCTGATCTTCTTCAGGGAAATTCCCTTCCAGTTCCAAAAGTTCATCCAACCCCGAGAATGAAACTGGCGGTGAAATCGTGTTGGGTTGCTGATCTGATAATAGGAAAAACGCCTGGGCCTCTAACTCCCAGGAGCTGCTGGGGAAAGACACTCGCAGTGGGGAGTGTTCGCTGGAGATGCTCTTGCTGACAGAACCATGTAGAAGCTCTTGCTCTTCCTCCATTTCAACCGTTTTCGAGTGGCTGACCAGCGTTGCATATTTCACGGAGGGTTGTCTCTGACACTCATCCTCACAGGTTACCTGGGTGCTTGGCGCCCCAGAGAAGGTAGCACTGTTACACTGGTCACTAATACAAATAGAACCCCTCTCAGGGTCTGGAGTGGTCAGAAGAAGCGAGACCATAGCTGCTGGTGCCATCTCGTCTTTATTTTTCCAAGCTGTATCCACGCTGATTTCTTCTGAAATGGGTTCGGGCTCCAGAAGAAGAGGACCAAATATCACTGACTCTGCATGCTTGGTAAAAAGATGCTCAAATGTTTCCGGCTAAAAGAAAACACACATTTTAATGCTCAGTTTGTTAAAACTTCATTCTGTCACACTTGCAGAAAGGCCAGCGTACAAGGTTAAAAGCAAGGGACATCAGCCAACTACAAATGACAGTGTGGGGCTGAAAATTTGAAATATCAAAAACCAGAAGGGGAAGACAGTCTTGACTCTTCAAAGTCAGACAAGAAAGTCTCAGGCTTGTGTTTTTCAAATAGTACAACTATAAACACACAAATCGCTCTTCAGGGGTAAAAACGAGCTGCATATTTCATTATGGCCATGGGCTACAAGTAAGCGAGCCATATCTGCAAATGCCTTAGCCTCCATGGAGCCTGGGTACTGTGACTGGAAAATTCTCTCCTCCCAAAAAGCCATTCTATGTTATAGTTGCCACCCTATTTTAGAAGTGATTCTATTTGATCATAACGTCACAAAATGACTTCTGAAAAAAGGTCATTCTATTTTATAGCAAATTCCACAAAATTAAATTTTAATCTCTAGGCATGAAAACCAACCCACAAACAGAAAACCAGATTGGAACACAACATAAGGAGCGAAACAAGTTTTCTAGAGATAGTACCAATAACTGCTTCATGCCGCAGGATACGATGCAGAGGGGAAGTAACTGACTCACATACCTGCCTCTGGCCACAGTGAGAATCTGCTTGAGGGTAACTGAAAATGACAACTGTGGTACTTACTTGCTGAAGATGGTGAAAGAGACATTGACAGACTTGAACACTGTTATTCCTTCTACATAACTTCATGTAAAGATATATCCTATGGAACACGTGGAATGAAGACAAACACACAAGACAAATGTACAGCATGGTTTTTTTTTTTTATAAGAACAAGGATTACAGAACAATGAAATCCTGTCAAGCGGCTACAAATCAAAAATCTGCGTGCAAAAAGCTCAGTACGAACAATGTAAACTTAAAACATAGAACTCAAATAAAAATACTGCAGATATATCACATTGAATGGATAACACAACTAAGTAGAAAATATGTTCAGTTCATAGATCATACGTGTAATTTAGCTTTGGCATGTTACAGTTTTTTAAGCTAATAAAGTGAATTCTGAGTTATGGCCTGAGATAGCAGTATACACAAATGTTCTTCACAATGGCAAGCATATTCCATATAAAAACACAGCAGTTGCAAATTCTTAGCTGACATATATTAGTGATTAAACAGTAGAGGAATAAATATACTGAACACTAAATATAGTAATGGCATAGACCTATGTCAGTGTTAAAATACTGATTGACAAACACTGCCAAAAATGCTGCAAGCAGAAAATGGATCCTACTCCCACACTGTTTCTGACAGGAGTCTGTGCATTTGTGACTTCCTCCAAACATTCTATTTTTTCCCTTAATATTTTTACTACTTATATTGCTGAATTTTTCTAAAAGTTTAAACAAGCTTGACATCCAATCCATTCATTTTGCTGTCTTCTTTCTACCAATATGGAAAAATAGGAACAACATACAGCATGCAGGTGAGTTCATGTGTGTTTTTCAAATGATCTGTTCCATCTCCTCCATGGGCCCTACACCTTCTTAATGAATAGTTAATTGTGAAACAAGTCATGGCCATCTTAAAAGGCATTCATGTGGAAGCCTTAAATAATAAATGCTTCTTAACTACACATTACTGAACTATATATTATCAATGGTCACAGAGCTTCTTCAAAGTATGTTTGTTCAAAATTTATTTCACTCTGTGGATATAAGAATCGAAAACCAACCTTTCATAAGTTTGCAGCTAGACATTATATTACAATGATGTCTGTTAATATTAAATGAAGAAAAGGGGATACAACCCTCCTAGTGTCTTAACTTTCTTTAGACATCCAAACCAAATTACCAATCGCATCTAAGTGATCCACGTATCTTAAATTTGAATGTTATTTGTGTCCATCAGTTTGGTTTAGTTTGAATGTAAGCAATAAAGTCTATACTATATATTAACGTCATACAGATATGGCAAGACATCTGTTTTTCAGGGAGAAAAGCCCTGTCCTCACCAGGACCTATTTGTAAAATCCCAGAAAGTCTCCTGTTCTTGCACACCTCCCTGTCTGCCAGCAGTTTTTGGCTGATTCAGTGGAAATAAGTTGATTCATGGAGGTTGTTACTCTCTTCTGCTCTGGGCAATTTGACCTGAGTGTGTAGGGTTATCCTAAAATGAGGGATAGCTTCCACTGGTGTGTGTGTGTTGTTATCCTGAAATGAAGTATAGCTTCCACTGGTCTATGTGGGGTTATCCTCATATAAAACACAGCTTCCATTGGTGTGTGATCACCACAAACCACAACTTCTGGTTTTCTTTAAACTAAAATGAGAGTTAGAACTTAAGTCATGTTCAAGACTATAGAAAACTAAAATTCCTAGATTGTTCCAAGTTTGGTACACAAAAGCCATGTTATTCAAAAGAATCTGAAATTCACGAATTTATGAGTGTCCATTAAAAAAATTTAGTAGAGAAGCTTTCACACATAGGAATAGAAGCTAAATACCTTCCCTGTAGTGTGTATGGGGTCTTTGCAAAGCTGGATGTCAGAAGTTGCTTGTTCGAGCTCCCTAGTTCCAGCAATCTCCACCACATTTCTACCACATTTGGTAAAAGAATATGTTTCGACAGCAACAGTCACACCATTGACATTTTATGACCAGAAAAATAAAAATTTGAAAGCAGAGACCATGATTATTAATATCAAACTTTAGGTGCTCTGATAATTATGCATTTACCCCAACTGAACTACACCAAACCCACATAGTGACCACAAACGTACACGTCTCTATTAAGTTCATCACGTGTTAGTTCTTAATAATTTGAACAATAGTTTGGGTTTGCTTCCCTCCTTCAAAATGTAAACATCTTCTAATACTCTATGGACTGTTGGGAAGTTGGTACATTGGGTTCGTCTGTAGTGGTCATGAGAGACTTCAAAGAATGTCCGTTCTCTGTTTAAATAAAATAGAACAAAATAAGAAAGCAAAATAAAATGGTCATACAGAAAGTCAACGATAAAAGATTCCAACCCCTCTCTTTTCATGGACTCAGGCTCTATGTTCTTGTGTTGTGTTGCAGTGATGTGCTTAGGAAGGGGGAGGACCAGGGTCTAGAGGGACTTCTCTCTCCTTACTGAATGCCAGGGATACTCTAAAGACAGGCCAATCACTCTAGAAGGGAAGACTACAGCAGCAATAGCAGAATAGATAAAAAGAGCAAGGACTCAATGAAGAAGAGGGGGATAAAATCAACAGTAACACTGAAGAGTGTGGGGGTGGGAAAGGATAAGGGTTAAGTGATGAGAAGAAAAAAGTAAAAGAAAGAAAATAGACTTTGCTCCCCGGGTGCTGATTTATGGGAGATTAAAGTGATGTGATAGGCATGTGAGAAATGGAGAAGAGGAATAACAATTTTTCCTTTAAAAAAAAAAAAAAAGGTAGTTCAAAAAGTTCCCGTTTGAAGAAAAAAATGAAAAAGTTAGTTTCTCTAAAGTTACAGAGAACTGAGAAAGCCACAGAGCAGGGCACAGACGGATAAACCTGTCAATGCCCGTGAATCCGTGGCAGCATCTTCACGCTGCTCTAGGAGCAGACAGAATTTAGGGACCTAAGAAAGACCTGCCAGGAAGACTAAAAGCAGCAGAGTTGAAAGTGTTGGCGACTGGGGGAGGAGTGAGGCAGGAGACTACAGTTTCAATAGTCTACCCTAAGCTACACACTTGTATTTCTCTCAAACTCCTCAAAAGGCAAACAGAAGTGCCAGGGCATGCACACGAACAAACACTGACAGTCATGCTTCCTGCCAGCACGGGTGGTGTGCCGCTCGGAACAGAAAAAGGCAGCAAATGAGCTGTCCCATGGCAAAGAGGAGAGCGGGTTCACCAGGCTGAGTTCACAGAATGCAGACACCACCAGGTCAACGGTGAGCTGGGAGACTTGCCAGGAAAGCTGCAGGCATAGCATGCAACCAGCCCAAGAGAGAGAAGTACGCTGCAGTCAATGCAGCTGAAAGGCGGTGAAGATCTGAAGAGCCCCTTGACGTCAGCCATGGAGATGCAGAATTGGGAGTTTGCCCTGATGAACTTCAGTCTTTGGTCCAACATTTCCTCAATATGCTACCTTTCTTCCCTTCTGGAATGGCAATATATATTCTGTGCCATCGTATGTTGGAAACATGTGATCGGCTTTTTGATTTTGGTTTTACAGCTAAGAGATTTCCTTGAGTTCCGGAAAAGACATGGACTTTGGACTCTGAAACAGTGTAGAGACTACGAAAAACTCTGGGAACTTTTGAGTTGGACTGAATGCAGTTTTCATTATGATAGAGCTGCAAGCCTAGAGGGGCCAGGGAGTGGAATGTGGAGGCTGACTGAAAATTGCCTCCACAGGCTCATCTATTTGCATGCTAAATTCTCAGTTAATGGTTTAAGAAGGATTAGAGGGATCAGGAGGTATGACCTTGTTGGAGTAGGCGTGGCCTTGTTAGAGGACGTGTGCCCCTGGGGGTGGGCTCTGAGGTTTCAAAAGCCAACCCCTGGCCCAACGTCTCTCTTTCTGTCTTTCATCTTGTTTCAGGACGTAAAGCTCTCAGCTACATTCCAGTACCATGCCTTCCTGAGCCCTGCCGCATTCCGCACCATGATGATGGACTAATTTCTGAAACTGTAAGCAAGCCCTCAGTTCAATGGCTTCTTTTATAAGAGTTGCCGTGGTCAAAGAGTCTCTTCACAGCAACAGAACACTAAGACAGTATTGCTTTTGATGTGATATGAGCAAGAGAAATGAAAATGTTAAAAGTGGAGGGAATTAATTTTAGGGAAAAATTAGAGATGAGCTTAGATGTTGAGGTCACAACCATAAAAAGTAATGTTCCTCCAAATCAGGACTTGAAGAGCAAATTAAAGGAAAGTTATGGATTTAAAATATATTATTTAAAAAAACTACTGAATCTGGCTGGGCAGTGGTGGCACAGGCCTTTAATCCCAGCACTCAGAAGGCAGAGACAACTTGATTTCTGTGAGTTCAAAGTCAGCCTGATCTACAGAGCTAGTTCCAGGACAGCCAGGACTGTTACACAGAGAAACCCTGTCCTGAAAAACCAAAATTCAAACAAACAAACAAACAAAAAACCCCTACTGAATCTGAATTGGTTTTTAAAAACATTGGGTTTCCATTGGCTGTTTCCTTTGCAGTATGCCCTGGGATATATATTGGCCTGTCTATTCCTTTGTCTTGAAATGAATATGCCATGTTTTGTTAATTCATTTATTATTTGAAGGTCATTTGGATTTTTTATTCAAATTCTGGTTATTATTGACAATTCTTTTATGAATTTTCATAAATAAATACTTGTGCAAAAGTTTCTTCACTCTTTTAGTAGAAATGTTAGGGTAGATCGCTGAGTCCTGGTTTCAGATGGAAAGAACTGGCAGACTCTTCAAAGCCTGCACTCTTTTTATATTTATATTCCTAAGGGCAGTCAGAAAGCTTCAGTGTCCCTACTGACTAGTATTTCTCTCTTTTCTGTGATGGACATCCCACAAGCTGTGGAGGGTACCTCATGGTTTTGACCTGCATTTCTCCGATATCTAAAGATACTCACCACGTGTTCACTTGTAAATATAAAGGTAGTTTTGTCTTTTACATATATGGTCTCTAGAAAAAGACATAGTCAGATCCTGTACCTACAGTTTTTTTATTGTGTTAAAATAAACATAACATACAATTGACCATCTCATTTATCTTTGAGTGTGTCATTTAGTGAGTATTAACCACACTAGGGGACACAATGGTAATATGAAATTAATGGCAAGGATTATCACTTTGTCAGAGGGACTTGGGTTTGAATCCAGGTTTTTAATAAGACCTGGTTGGGTATGTAGCTACCAACCCATCCTTAACCTGTCTTGTCATTGATTCTTAATAGTGTATCTTTGTTACACCCTAAAAATACATAAACACTATATATACCAAAACATATACTGAAAAAAAAGAGAAAGTGAAATATTTGCAAAGGTAAAGAGAAATCTCTCACAAATGGAGATATTCATAACCCTCTGTCTTTTAAAAATAATTTACACGTTAGGGACTAGAGAGCTGACTCGGCAGTTAGCAGCACTTCCAGATCTTCCAAAGAACCTGAGTTTCTTTCCCAGAACCCAGGTCAGGTAGCTTCTAACTATCATTTCCTACTCTGGGGCCTCTGGTGCCCTCTTCAGGCCTCTGTGTGTACCTGCACTCACTCTCACACACACACAAATAAAATCTTTTTAAAAATTCGCTCCAATTTCTGGAAGTTTAGGGTGGTATTTCAATTTACTTAAAATCTCTGCCAGACGCTCTACTGAATCCTGCATTATCCTCAGCTCCAATAGGGGAGACGTGAGACACCAGGTAAGCCAGAGACTAAAGACGGCCACTGATTGACCCAGCCTTTGTCTTCTCATTTCTGCCAGACATTTGGAAAGGAGGGCACATTAATCTGGTACAGGTTCAAACTGTATTTGCTGAGGTCAGTCTGGCCACACCCTGTCTTGGGTAGAAGTTAGATTCCCTTTCCAGAAAAAATATGAAGATAAAATGCCAAATACGCCATGCTGGATTGGGGGAGGACTTTAGCTTTCTTTTAGAGGAAGCATAATGACTGTTTTTGAAGCTTTATGGTTTTTATTTAGATAGGCATTTGGTTATTTTAACTTAGAAAAGAAAACTTTGTATTTAAGAGGAAGATGTGCCTAGTCTGTTCTTTGTGTTTGTAGTTTGAGAACGCATTGCCAATTGACTGTGAATTGACCGTGAGAGTATCTACACTAACATCATGGAGCCAAGTAACAACTCTCCGTCATCCGAATCTGACTCAAGTACCATTCTCTCTTCTTTTATCTTTCTTTCTTCTCTTATGCTTGTTTGTTTCTTTGTAACCTAGGCAGGCCTCAAAATCACTATGCAGCCCTGGAACTCACAACCCCCCTCCCCCCGTTCTGCTTTCCAAAACACTGGATATGTATTCCAGGTGTGCACCATCACAACCAGATCAAATGTCAATATTTTAATCATGCCCACTCATACCCATCCATGCACTAAGACAGGTTTCCACATCCTAGCCCTCAGCACATTGGAGCTTAGACCTGTGAAGTGATTTCTAATGATAAACTGGTAAGTGTTGATCGTCCCCCACCAGACTGTACAGTCCAGGAGCACATAGAGTGTTTCTTACCAATATAGCCCCCAAGATATAGCAAAAGTGATTGGCAAAGGACAGGTTTTCAGTAAAATGACAAACTGATAAAATGAATACATGAGAAGTTAAAAATGAACAAGGGTTACAGAAGCCAAAAGGTAAGTTCTTATTCCTTCGACCTAGCCACTCTTCGTGGACCCTGCTCTTATTTCTTAGAAGACAAGGAGGATGTCGTAAGAATCTCATCTAGAGTTTAGCGGCAATCTCTCCTTTTCATCTGCAAACACTCGCTCTGTGCCCATTGCACACGTCCATGGATGATGCACGGGTGCATCCGAGATGCCACCACGTTTATGAGAAATGCGATTGCAAGAATTAGTTGTGGAAGAAAAAGAAGAGTGGTATTTTGTGAGTTGAAAAATAACTCAGGAGCACTCCTGAAATAAAAGGAGCCCCGGGTGAGAGGGTAGGAGGGCACAGCGGGGGAGTCAGAGGCAGAAGGCTAGCATTGGGGAAAGCAGAGATCCCACAGAGCACATGCTTAAAGGCAAAACCACACAGCTGCCGCTTCTGAAAACAGGCTGTTAGTTCATCTGATGGGAGACTGCCTCAAGCAGCTGAGCTGCTCGTGGTGTGTGCACGAGCAGCTACTTCTCATGGACTGGCTGCAATGCTGTATCCTACTGACTGCAAGTCACCTGCCATTTGAAGGCTGGGGATCAGATTAGTGAGTTGTTGACAGCATTTTTAAAAAATGAAAGATAGTTAAAAATATTTTTTCTCTCTTTTCTGCCCAGCAAGATGCTTCCCACAAAAATTCTCTCATTTTTTCCATGTCTGTATATCTGTGCTAGGCTGCAAGAGGAAACATATTTCTCCCTGCGTGTCATGTCAATATATAGAACAGTTACAATGAGAATAAGTTCCAATTGGGCAAGCTAATCCTGGTTCTAAGATAAGCTATGTCACCAGTATAAGCATTGATTTTTCTCTCCTACGCTCGGTACAGAATACCCCAGGGGTAATCAAAGGCAGCAATAGTCTACTATGTATAAATATGCAAACAATAGCATAAAACAATAACTGATACTCATTAAGATCTTTAAATGCTGAAAGTGTTAAAAAAACTTTCTTTCAACTACAATTCTCCATCACTGAGTTTTATTTTACTGCATCCTTCTGAAAATAACATGCACTTGTAAGTAATTCTGACTATAATATAGATTCTAAGCTTTTTGCCTAAAGACAGCCCATTCATACCGAAAAAAAAATCAGTCAACTATCTATTCTCCATCTATAATGTTCCTTTCTGTTGCAGTATTTCTTTCTTAGTTCACTGTGAACAACAACAACAAAAAAAAGATAGGTGTGTTGTGAGCTCTCATGGGATGAAGGCTGAACTTTGTCTCCTCTGACCAAAGCCTTATACCCAGCTACTACTAAGGACAGATGATGAACAGACTCGTCGAAATGAATTGGACAAAGCAAAGCCTTCTAAGCCTTAAAGATGTGTAAACATCTGGAAGTTCTATCTAAAATGCAACCTTCAACATTCTGGGTTAAAATACATAAACAGTGACCTTTTGGAAATTAAGTCCTTGTGCCCAGGAACAATTCTTGGGGTTTGGAACGTCTTCCCAGAACAACTTTTTCATTCTGCAAAGGAGAGATGAAGCCTTGTGATTAGAGACACGCTCGAAATGAGACGGCATTAACAGCTAGCGAGCACACAGAGCCAGCATGAGTGGGCGGGGTCGCCTCACTAGGGCCACACCCGTGTTTACATTTGATCCCACAAGAGATCACTGAATGTCTATGAAGAAGAAACTAATAACCAACCCTTTCTTCCTGAAAGCTGTGTGCCAGGCAGATTTTCCTTAGAAAATCTTTAAATGGCCATCGGTCACGTGGGCCCACTGCTAGGGTGCCACCCCTGTCATTCAACTAAAGCATGATATCAGAATGTAATGCCTTCCCTCCATTTGATGGAGGACTAAAGCGTCTGTGGATTTGACATGAGTGAGAACATCTCGAGAGCTGGGTGTTTCAGAGAGTGGTTAGGCACCCACAGAGCCACCAGGGAACTCGCGGCCATTTGTTAAATCAGAGACCCCGGAGCTTTCTGAGGCCCTGTCCCTCAGAACATGGGCAGAGTGCTGCCTGCTGCCATGATAGTCTGCTTCCGGTCACCATGCAACGGCTACTTGTAAGGTCTTGAGAGCTCCCTAAAATCTTCAGTTCAGATTACAGAACCCTAACAGCCATTTTTACCAAACCTAAGAATATACTGTTCAGGGTTTCTTGTTACATGTCAACTGATTACTGGATGTATATAAAGACAAAATTTTTTAGCTGGGCGGTGATGGTGCAAACCTTTAATCCCAGCACTTGGGGGGCAGAGGCAGGCAGATCTCTGTGAGTTCGAGGCCAGCCTGGTCTACGAGAGCTAGTCCCTGGATAGGCTTCCAAGCTACAGAGAAACCCTGTCTCGGGGGAAAAAAAAATAAAAAGAAAAGAAAAAAATTTTAAAGTTGAATTCTGCCTTCAAGTTTTTGTTGCCCTATTGAGATGAAAAGTCATTTGCTGAAAGCAACCTCTCCTTTTGTGTCATGTTAATTGTATATAAAAACATTTTCAATACTTTTTTGCTAGTTAATACTACGAGTTAGGCTTCATGTCAAATTTTGAATATGCTTAAGCTACATTCTTTATGGCAAAAGTGCTTAGCACCAAGTGCGATACCTCTGGTGTGAGATCAACAGTGTTCCGAGAAGCAGGACGCAAGAGGAAATGATTATGGGCACAATCACATAGAGCCCCGCGTCGTTCTGCTGCTTGTCCACACCATCTGAAAGACAGACAGACACAAGTCAGACCATCAGTTGCTCCAGGAGACTGTTCCGCAAAATCATTCTCAGAACATGTACTCTAAATTCTGCACTACATCCAAACATACAGAAACTTATAAAGGAAGAAATTAGGAGCTGCAGAAATGGCTCAGGGGTTAAGAGCCCTGGCTGCTCTTGGAGAGGGCCGGGTTCTTTTCCCAGCACCCACACAGCAGCTCACCACTGTCAATCACTTTAGTTCCAGGATAGCTGATATCTGATTCCCTCTCTGGCCTCTGAGGGTATTAGGAATGCAGTTGGTGCACATATATCTCCAGGCAAATACCATACATGTAAAAATTAAAATAAGTACTTATTTTTAAAGTAAGTATTTTAAATGTATTATGGCCACCTTAATAGTTGTTTTGACTAGTAGCATACTGGAAATGTAGCAAAACATTGCTTTAGAATTATGTACTTGCCAGGCAGCTCCTTCTAATCATTGTTTAAACTCTGAGTCAAAGCACCAACTAAAGTTGCTGTGAGAAACTCACTATCTGCTCCTGCAGACCGTGTTGGCGTCACCCACCAATCCTTATCCTTGTAGCTCTGACACACCGGTGTCTTGTTGCTTAAGGCCTCAGGGCCTTTATGAAAGCCTTTTGGCCTGATGTTCTTGCTGCTGCCTTAGCCACCATGTTTACTCTTCAGGGCGTGACACATGGCACCCCGGCTTGCCCTCCATTCTCAGGTGTTCCAGGGGAGACACGTGGCACCCGGCTTGCCCTCCCTCCATTCTCAGATGTTCCGGGGGAGACACGTGGCACCCCAGCATGCAATGCTCTTCCCTTCTATTCTGAGAGCTTTCCTCAAGGACCAGAGCCCACAGAAAGACCATCTCGCCATCCTTTCCTCACCACGTTCTAACTCTCTGTCTTCATCTCACTTGCATTTGCCCCCAAGGCACTGCCTTCCACCTGGCTCTGCGTCTTAAATAATGTATTCACCGACCATCGCCGCCTGTGCAGCACTGAGACCCAAGTTCCCAAAGGCAGGCTTACGTTCACCACTTTGTCCTCGGTCCTTAGAACAATGTTCAACACGTACTTGTTGAACAATAAATAATTATTAGTGTAGAAGCAATTAAAATGCTTCTCTTTAGAAACTGTCTTATTGGGCTGCTTGGATTTAACAACTTAAAAAGGAACAAGAAGTTTAAAATATGGGTGGGTGCAGTAGTCCAATCAGAATGTGTCCAGTGAATTTAACTAGCCAGTTTCAGGGAAAAAAATTTTCCTTGAACAACCCAATGACACATCTAGGCAAAACTTTCAGCTCCTTCCTGACCCTATGAGGAAGAAATTAATGCAGCAACAGCATAACCATAACCACTGAGATATGAAACACATAGAAAAAGGAAAGTGGGGCTGGGGAGACGCCCAGCAGGGAAAGCATTTACTGTGCAAGTCTGACGACCTGACCCTGGAGTAGAAGGACAGGGGACCCAGGGTTGTTCCCGAGCGTCCCCTTGGATATGGGCCCCAAGTACACAGCATCAGTACCAGCACACGTGCCACACACAGACACTTTTTTTTTTTAAGAAAGAAATTACATTTTTCTTTTACCTTGGGTGAAACCATTAATTATCTTTGGTTTTCCAACTCCTTCCATAAATACTGGGTAAAGACTAAACTGATATTTCTCAATGGGAATAAAGTTATCTGAAAAGAAAAAAAATAAGCAGTAAAAGTTCATGTTAGCTAAGAATGAAACCTATATAGAAGAAATACAGACCGTGCTGTCTCAGCACTACTCTGTTTAAGGGTTTTTTTTGAAGACTAAAGGGAATTCAGAAATAAGCTAAGCGCTCCAGATTTTGCTAGCAATGATATTTATTTTCAAATACGTTCCCAAAACTCCTCCTCACGATTGCCACCCAGATGCATGAGCGGCCTCTTTGGAACCTATTCCCTACAGTGGGATGCCTTGTTCAGCCTTGATGCGGGGGTGGGGGGGGAGGGAGTTGGGGGGGCAGGGAGCTTGGTCCTGCCTCAGCTTGATGCGCCATGTTTTGTGGATTCCCACAGGAGGCCTTGCCCCATCTAAGTGGAGACGATGAAGGAGGGCATGCGGGTGGTAGGGGAGGTGGGGTGAGAGAGAGAGGGAAAATTGTGGTTGGTATGTAAAAGAAATTTTAAAAATAATGGGGGGGACCTCTTCCTCAGACACAAATGACTGGTTTTCCAAGGTCATGCTCCAGTGAGAGCCGAGTTTGTTCAAGTTCAAGACGTTTTCTCTCTTTTGCACCTGAATTTCCTGCCCCAAGACAGTGTGTTCTCCCTTCTCCTACCATCCTCGGGGTCTCTTGTGCTATCCGGGGTCTCAATAACGTGGAGAACGATGACCCCCAGAGCAATGTAGGAGACAGACGTGACAAGGATTCTCACAGATGCTGAGGACACATGACCAGCAGCCCTTAAAAGGCAGAGCCCTGAGAAGCCTGCATTCGCCATCCCTCTCCGTGATAGGATAGAGCAAACCACCCACGGGAGGGATAAGGAACTTGGTCCCCTGCCTAGAATTTAAAAATGAATTTAGCCTGAGGCTAAATTCTAGGTATTGGGAATGAATGAGAAAAATCCATCTAGGTCTTCTAGATGGCATAAAACCAGGGCAGCCCCCAGCCTCCCTACTCATCCTCCCTTCCTCCTGACTCTGCTGGGGCCGGTGCTATCCTGTACAATCCTGTACACTTACCTCTCAGGGTAACTGGCCCCGTTCTTGGCGGGATTACACTGACCTAGGTCAGCTGGTCCGAAATCCTCGGACTTCCAGCCTAGCCCCGCTACTCACTGCATCGTGACGTTCTGACTGGGTACTGAGTTGGGGGTGCGTGGTGTTAGAGCTTAGAAGACATTAAGAAGGAAGATGGAAGCAACATGAACTCAACTAAATAAATACCTTAGGTACACTTTAGAATAAAAGGCTATACGATCGTCACATATTCTGACAGAAAGGGTTGGGGAGAAGGTTTGGGACATCTGATTGCATCTGTGTAAAACATAAAAGAAAAAGGCTCACAGAAATACAGCAAATATTCTGACCAGGCAACACGATTATCATTCCATTGGCAGCCCTTGGCGTCTGCATTTTGAGGTTGTCACCAACCACTTCGTTGTCTAAATTCCCAATCTGTGGTGTCATCCTAACCCATGAAAAGTCCTGTGAACATACCATGGATGTAATACTTCCTAACGTTCGAAGGGATCCTAAGCCACTTCATTCCGTCGCCTTCATTAAGATTCTTCCATTCAATAACCAGGTATATTAGGTTGTAATCCCCGGGTGACAGCGTCCAGGAAAGGATCACACAGTTGCTGCTCAGGGGGTAAGCACTGAGCGACTGCACAGCGCTCACTGAGGGGAAGAGGAGGAATTCATTTTAAATTCAAGATTAATAAAAAGGTACTAAGCGCCTTGAGGAATGGCCCAGACGAAGGGAGAAGGGAGAGGAGGCAGACAATGATACAAATGAATTGAAGCTCATGCAAGCAGAGTGTGCAAATTTAGGACATGGAGAACCAAAGTGATTCTACCTCAGATCTAAAAACAGACTTCTGGTAGCATCGAAATTGTTCTCAGCTGGAGTCACATGCAAGCCTATTAACCAAACTCTCTGATTCCCACACAGTTCTCTCTCCCACTGGTGAGTGACATTTCCAAAGCTGCCCTCAGCAGAGTCCCTTCAGAAAGCCTTGGTGGATTTCCACATCCGAGGAGGCCGTTCCTCTCACGCCTACATGGGTCCGCAGGCCATGCACGTCTCAAGCTTCTTTCTGGTGTGTCTGTTTCTCCATGCAGCAGCCACTCTGGTCTTCACTCAGCATCTCCCCTGAGCTGCGAAAACTTGACCAGATGTGCAGCAACTGGGAGCTAAGGCTTCCCCATCCCAAACCCGTGGGGGGAGATTTGGTTCCATATCATTTCCTCAAGATGGCTTCTCTACCCTCAACCCAAGATCAAGTCCCTGTTTACTTTCTTTCAAAAAAAATCATATTGCTGGTCAGACATGGAGGCATGTGCCTTCAATTCCAGCATTGAGGGGTAGAGAGAAAAGCAGATCTCTATGAGTTCGAGACTAGACTGATCTATCTAATGAGTTCCAGGTCAGTCAGAGCCACATGAGACCCTGTTTCAATCTCCACACAAAAGTGGAAGGGGAAATCAGCTCCACCAAGCTGTCCTCTGATCTCCCCACACATGCTGTAGTATGTGTGCCCATAAACACACATCACACACGCAACTCTCACAAGGATACAAACACACTAATATGTTCTTAGTTAAAAATAACAAAGCATCTTTAAAGTTTAGAAAGTGCTCTGAATTTTTTTTTAAAAAAGTATAGGGCACATTCGAACAACAGTCAAAAACTTCATGAAGGAAGGAACTCTTCCTCTTCATGGCCCTGCAGGTAAAGGCACCAGTCAGCAAGCCTGATAACCGAATTAGATCCCTGGGACATACATGATAGAAAGAGAGAACCAATTCCCGCAAAGTGTCCTCTGACCTCCATACATACTCTGGAATGTGCATCCCCCCAAATTAATTAGCTGTAAAGTATATTTTATAAAAGAAAGCATCAATGCTTAGAATGATCAAATATACCAACATTAATTGAAAGGTGAGGCATTCACTACTTGCGCGAAATAAAGCCCAAAATAGTTTCCAGCTCTCAGCAACTGATTTGAGTCCACATAGTGTGTCATGCTATTACTAAAATAGATAACATTTTATATAAAATAAAATAGTGTATACTATATGTAAATATATACTATAGTATATATAGTATGTACTAATTGAATACTATATATAATAAAATATTAATATTATATATGAAGTATTCTATATTCTAATTTCTAAACAGAGATAGTGACTCACCTCCACTGCTTCAAAAGGGTTAAGTTATTAGATTTACTAGACTATTCTGTTGCAAATGATCATGATTGGTTAGCAATGTATTTTTCATACAGAGACTAAGTATAAAAATATCCTGGGTTGCTCAGAGGTGATTTAAACAAGAAGGGCTATGCACAGGTTCCATACTGAAAGGGGATACCCAAGCCCAGCTCATACACTGCAGTACAACCTCCACACTTGAAGCCCGGGGAACCTCACAGAAGAGGGAAGGGATGGACTGGAGGAGCCAGAGGCTCAGGACATCTGCTGTTGGATAGTGTCCTCTAGGCATGAACTCTACATAGTATCAGTGCTGAACATGAGCAGCGTAATGACAACACCAGCCGACATGCCAGTGTGGACGGGGAAATTCATGATCCCAATGAGGGCTCTCTAACAGGCCCAAGGTTGGCAAACACGGCTCTGGCACGTCTTGCCCAGCCACCTTTCCTCTCCCTCGCTAAACCATTAGATTTCATTCCTAAGGCTAGCCACCAAGGTTTAGTCCGTATTTGGCCACTTCTTTATGCCTGACCAAAACTCTAAGGTGCAGTTATCAAAACGCCCAGGTCCAGCAATCAAGATTTATTATTTGGCTACGTTAGCTAACATGTCCAATCGGGACTTACCAACTCATCCTACCACAGACTTCCCTCTTCTCTCCTTAAAAGCCACTACTGGGGGCTGGAGAGGTGGCTCAGTGGTTCAGAGCATTGACTGCTCTTCCAGAGATCCTGAGTTCAATTCCAAGCAACCATATGGTGGCTCACAACCACCAGTAATAAGATCTGGTGCCAACTTCTGTCTGCGGGGACACATGCAGGCAGACCATTGTATACATAATAAATAAATAAATAAATCAATAAATAAATCTTTTTTTTTTTAAATCACTACTGTGGAACCACCTGTTGCTGTCTCTGTTCAGTCCAGAGGCATCCACCCCCCAGCCCTAAGGGATCTCCTTTGTGCTGAGAACTTGGTATCCAGGTGTGTTCTATGCTGACTCCGAGGCCCCCTACACCCACCGCTAGGGGAAGAGCTACAGGGGATGAGTGTATGCTCAGAGAGGAAGAACCAGTCTCCTCCATGGAGGAGTTCCTTCACAGGTTGACGAATCCCAAGTGGTTATCACAGGTATATATGAGCAAAGCTAAACAGACTTAGTAAGTTAGACATATGTGTGTGTATATAATATTTAATGATTGATGGAGGAGGGTTAACTGTCTATGTGTTACTTTCATTGGTTAATAAAGAAACTGATTGGCTTTTGATAGGACAGCAGCTTAGATAGGCGGAGTAGACAGAACAGAATGCTGGGAGGAAGAAGGCAATGAGGCAGTCGCCATGATTCCCCTTCCGGAGATGGACGCTGGCTAGACTCATGCTGGTAAGCCACGACCTCGTGGTGACATACAGATTATTAGATATGGGTTAATCAAGATGTGAGAATTAGCCAATAAGAGACTGAAACTAATGGGCCAAGCAGTGTTTAAAAGAATACAGTTTCCGTGTAATTATTTCAGGTGTAAAGCTAGCTGGGAGGCGGGCGGCAGGAAGTGGCCCACCGCTCCTTCTACAAATGATAAAGAAGAGATCATGAATTTTAGAGGGGGTACATGGGGGGAATTGGATGGAGGAGAGTGAGGGGCAAGAGTGATGTAGATGCAGTGCTGTACAAAAACTCATGTGAGCAGGCCACATCATAATTTAATAGTGGGGCTAGAATAATAATAATGATGATGATGATGATGATGATGATGATGATGATAGGATTCTGTGTGAAGCACCATAAAAACAAACAAACAAACAAACAAATAGGGCAATCAACTGCTTCTCAGCATCTCTTACCTTTACTCATCGGCCATGAAAATGTTAGATTAAAATTCGCGTGCGAAGCACCGATGGAATTGACGGCCAGAACAGTAACCGTATGCGCTTGCTCTGCCCACAGGAAAGTGAGATTTGTCTGATCTCCTGCGTCTTCTGACCACGTGCCGTTGTGGGCAGTACGGTGCTGGACCACATACCTCCTCACACTGCACAGGGAGTCGTTCTTCATCAGGGGCTGGAGTAAACACAAAAATTTGCTAGCTACGGGCCACAGTGTTTACACCAACTGAGCTCATAGAATTCTGCTTATCCGTTCCCACTAGGAAACAGGACTTAGGCCAAGGCAGGCACTGCTCATTCTAGTGCTAAGGGATCAGGGTGGAGTGGCCGTGGGAACTGTGTAATTCAGTAGGCATGGGCATATCTAGGAGTCATGCAGCACAGGGAAGCTATTTTCCCCCTCTGATTTTTTTTTCACACTCAGAGACTAAATTAAAGACAGGGAAGTAAGAACAGAGCCAGGACATTCAAAATATAAAGAATGCATTGGAAATACTAAGAATCTCCATTCTAATTGTAGAGAAAAACTAACGAGAAGTTTACTCATCTAATAACAAGCAAAGGCACCACTCAGGTTCTGGGAAGAACCAAGAAGGCTCAGTTGGTATCAACACTTTGTGAGCCCAAGTAAATCTGTCACTGTTCTCCCTAGGATGTGCTTGGAAGATTATCTAGAGCAAGAAGAGGGTTTGCAAAGAGAACAAGAACCCTGAAGGTTACCAAATAACAAAGGCTATCTGGGCAGTCTGTGTGACCCTGGACATTTCTGTCTCATAGCTTTCCACAGAATGTTGTACTGTGTCGTGGAAGATTCCTGTGTAAAAAACATGCCAGCTCCATGTTCTTTCATTCTGAAGAGTTCAAGAATATCCTTCACTTCCCAAACAATCACCTTTATTTATTGCAGGGACAATTGAAAGTTGCCAATTCCTTAGAAAGAAGAGCCGAATTTTATACCACATACTAGAGCAAGTGTCTCCAAGTGAAAAATGACAGAGACACGCTCCCACAGATGCATGGATTCTGTAGTGGGTGGAACCTTGTGGGTAGCTGGGTGGAAGTAAGATGTGAGAAAAAGTCTGTAAGGAAATACCAGCTTTATTTCATCTGAAAAATCCATGTCATTTTGATATGTTGATATTTATATTTTTTTTCTTTTCAGTCTTTGTTTGTTTGTTTTTGTTTTTCAAGGCAGGGTTTTTCTGTAGCTTTGGAGCCTGTCCTGGAACTAGCTCTTGTAGACCAGGCTGGCCTTGAACTCACAAAGATCTGTCTGCCTCTGCCTCCTGAGTACTAGGATTAAAGGCGTATGCCACCACTGCCTGGCATATTTATATTTTCAATCACACATAAAAACATCAAAGATATTAAAAGATGTTCCTGGCTTATCTGTACATTTACCACCGAGCCCTAAAATGAGCATTTCTCTCAAGCCCTGATCTCCTTGACTGAATAATACTGTTAGAAACACTCTTTCCTCTTGAAAGGCTCTCCTAGCTTATGAAATCAAGGACATATGCAGGTATACTTACTTCTATAAGAACACACCTATGCTTAACATGAGCTTGTATTGATCTCTAACTCCAATCTGTGACTACAAGAATCATTCTGGCTGACTCTCTTGCTAGTCTGGGTCCTTCTGGGTGAGCAGTGAAAAACATGGGCTCTGCCCCATTCATCTTCTTCATTTTTCTGTTCCAAGACAGAGAGATAGGGATGTAATAACTGTTAGCCTACATCCCTGGAAAGGAAGTGCATAGCTCCAACGTGTTTACGCAGTGCCTTCCATCTTTCACACTTCCCACTCATTTCCAAAGTTAATCAAGACTTTTCCCTTGCCACTCACAGGAAGGCAATTTCATACACGTGTGACAGTCATACTCTAATCTGTATTTCATCCCCAAATCCTCCAGTCTATGATTTTTTTTAAATCTGTATACTTTAAGGTTTATTCTTTGCCCTGTGAAGTTTCAGATTTGTGCAAATGTAAAGTGTTATGTGCCTACCATTTCATTTCCTACTGAAGAGTCTCACTTTGGAATAGTGATTAGAAATACAGCAGTTAAAATAACTCATGTATAAGTTTTCATGTAAAGAAAGTCTTCAAGTAACCCAGGTAATCATCTGCGAACACAGTCCATCAAGGCTGCACTTAACTTGCAAAGTGTCTGCACGGGTGTGCATTGCCACAAGAAGCTAACCAAGTTTCTTGATGCTCTGTATTCTCAATCAGCAATCCGGACGTCTTTAAAAAGTAATTAGCCATTCTAACAGATGTAGACTCATACCTCACTATGGTGACTCTCTCCCTACGGTGACTCCCTCCCTATGGGCAACTCTCTCCCTAGGCAACATTCTTTTTATGGTGACTCTCTCCCTATGGTTACTCTCTCCCTACAGTGACTCCCTCCCTTTTAAGTTTAAGTTAATTAAATTAAGTAAAGGTGAAAATTTAGGTTTTGCACCACACTGTATACAGCTCAAGCCATAAATCTACAGGTAGTGCCATGAGGATAATGTACACACAAACTCTTCTTGCCATTATAGAAAGTTCTACCAGGCAACATCACAGAGGAAACATGGGAGCCAGGCATAAGGAAGGCATGGGAACTATCTAGAAAGAAAACCCATTTTCCTGTTCAAGAGCATGATAGAGTATGAGGAAGGAGAGGGGGTAACTGCAGCCTGGGCCACAGGGTCGTTGTTACAGCTGTGAGGAGATAAAGATAAAGAACAGCTACTTATTTTGTTCGTGGATGACTCTACTAATGCCTGAGCAAGGTCACTGTCAATCCCTCTCAGTGTCAATTCTTATTTTTTTAAAGATTTATTTATTTATTATATACAGTGTTCTGCCTGCATGTACGCCTGCAGGCCAGAAGAGGGCACCAGATCTCATTACAGATAAGTTACTAGCCACCATGTGGTTGCTAGGGATTGAACTCAGGACCTTTGGAAGAGCAGGCAATGCTCTTAAGTGCTGAGCCATCTCTCCAGCCCTCAGTGTCAATTCTTAATGTTACTTTCAAGCAAAAATATTGAAATGAAAGACTGTTTAGAATTGCACTACCATGTAAACAAAAGTATATAGTAACTGGGATTATATAACTGGAAGTATACACAAATTCTTATATATCCCAATTTTTATATAGGATTAGTCTTAGATCAGGAAGCCATTTTTAGACATACATTAACGTTCTTCCTCTTGAGAACTGAAATTAATTTCACATTTACATATAAAACATGACATTACCTACCTCGTGTATTTTATTCCTGAACTTAAGCTTAATATCTACTCCTGAAATTAATTATTTGGGATCAAAATCAACTCTTTAGAAGAATGGATGCTTGGTATTTCCAAGTCGATCATCCATCATTATAGAAAACACTCACCCTTTGCCATCACATAGGTGAAATATTCTCCTACACCTTATGTGCTTAAACTGTGACGGGAAAGCCATGGTTACACTGTTCAGGAAGCAAATTCTGGACTTAAAGCAACACTACTTATCATCTAGTAATCTTACCCCGATACAGATGACAAATATGAAGCCCAAAGAGCCCAAGACATTGCCAAAAGAGCAACGACTCAACTATAATTGACCTGAGACAATAATAAAGGCTCCTGACCATGTCAGAACCCAAGATACTTAGCTCCGAGCAACCAAATCTCAGAAATGCATTAAAACGTAAGATTTGGGGTCATTCATGAGATTAATAATATGACAGGGTTATAAACAAAGAATAGACAAACAACTGCCGAATAAAATAAAAGACAGAAATTAGAAATACCTTCCAAAGCAGGGTGACATTCCTCTCTCTTTTAGTAACATCCCCATCCATTATTCTCCAGAATTCAGGTCCTCTCATAGGAACTGCAAAACAACAGGGAGCCCAAATTGGACACGTGTTCTTAGATCGTTTTCAGTCACAGCTGGAGCACACGCGCGTGCACACTCAAGAACCATTGGCAGGTGTTCACAGACCTTTTACATCCATGACAAGCGTGTAGGCTGGCCTGCTCCAATTACTCCAGTACCCAAATCCATCCAGCCGCCTGCAGCGCACCTGTACCACGTAGACGGCACAGAGGTCCAGCACCGGCAGGCTGGCAGACTTTGCTTGTGCGTCAAATACATCATGCATCTGTAACAGAAGTCGCTCCGTCAACGCGTGTGCCTCCTGTGGGTCCCGGAGTGAGTGTGCTTTTATTTGAAACCTTAACACCCTACCAAACTGGAGACAGAGTGATGCTGTATTTTCTCACTTCAGAAACACACAATATTTGGCTAGTCAGAGGAGGGCGGCCTCTCACATCTGGCCATTCCCTTGCTGGCTCCTTGCACCTGCAAGGTCAGTCCCAAGCACACTCTTGCCCTACTGCTAACCCTTGCCCTTTGATCCTCCGTCACAAAGACAAGAATTCAACAATGGCGCTCAGACAGGGCGCTCTCTAGAGAATCAAGCTGACAAGTTCATAAGACTCTCACATACATATACCCCAGCTGACATCACTGGGCTAATAATACTATCAGGGCATCTACTATTTCCATTCTTAGCAAGCTGCCCCCAGCAAAACTGACACAAAACTTTCCATGTGCACACTCAACTATATGAATGCTTAATAAAAGCAGTGTCTTTCAAAGTGCCCCATGCACACACATACTGAAAGATACCAGAAGCTCAGACGAAGTGTGGGTCCCTGGAAGAAAAATTGAGTGTGAAAACAAAGGATGAAATATGGCAAATGTTTCTTCAGCAAGGGCCTTCTTCAAACCTTTAATGTCATGAACTGCCTCTCTACACCAGGAGGGTCCAATGAGGGAGGTTTTCCTGAGCCTAGTCAACCAGGCAATCTCTGTTTCACGAACAGTTCATTGGGAAAATGCCCTGTCAAGTATGCTTTGGGAAATGCTGGAACATTTTTGCTCCTTACAAGGATTAAGCTTTGACAGTCTAAGTCAGTGCTTCTCAACCTTCTAATGCTGTGACCCTTTAATACAGTTCCTCATGGTGTGGTGACCCCCAACCATAAAATTATTTTCATTACTACTTCATAACTGTAATTTTGCTACTGTTATGAATGATAATGTAAATAGCTGATACTTGACTCCTGTGAAAGGGGTCGTGACCTGCAGGCTAAGAACCACCAATCTAAGTAATAAAATTATACAATACAGGAGAGTATACTGTTGTATGGCAGTGACAATGGGGCATAATGAAACTCTGACACACTATATGAGGCTGGTGCATGTTTGACTCTCAGCAGTTGTGGTTACCTACATGAGACATGTATGAGGTTGGTCATGGAAGGGAGAGGGGTTCACAGGGCCCACACTTCTCCCTGAGGATTTTACTGTAGCTGAAGGAAGATGAGTCAGTTTCTGCAGAAGTACAGCCACTGGCAAGCTGCCCGTGTTCCTGGGAAGAAATCCTTGCCAAAGATGGCTGCCAGGAAGAGGAAGGGAATCAATGGTAGGGGATAAGAGGTGGTAAGGGGGATGATTATGATTAAAACACACTATATGTATATATATATATATATATATTCAAATATATATTTGAATATGATCAAAATACATTTGTGTATATGTATGTATATGTATATATATGAAAATATCACAATGAAACCCATTATTAAGTATAATTAATATATGTTCATAAAACATTTAAATAGCATTTAGTAGTCTCAGCATTTCAGAGGCTGAAGCACTAGGGAGTTCACAAGTTCCTCATGGTGTGGTGACCCCCAACCATAAAATTATTTTCATTGCTACTTCATAACTGTAATTTTGCTACTGTTATGAATCATAATGTAAATAGCTGATACTTGACCCCCATGAAAGGGGTCGTGACCTGCAGGCTGGGCTACAGAGTAGAGACTCTAATTTACAGAGGGGCATGGGAAAGGAAAGAGGGAGAAAGAGCAGAGAGGACAACAATTAGAAGTAAAAGGTACCTTCCATTGTATGTCTTTTCCATTTAAGCCATATCGAATCTGGAACTGAAGATTATTCTCCGGAAAGACAGGCTTTTCCCAAGATACTTTTAATAATCCAATGTTTATAGTAATCTCCGCTTTCACACTAGATGGAGGTAGCGGTTTTACTAGAAAGTTAAAAAATAACATCATGTAATAGTAACTTAAAGAGTACTATCAACCATCTTTATACTTCATATTTCTAAAGCAATACCCTTTTTAAAGTTTTCTAGTTCATTGACTCATGCCTATAGCTTTGTGTAATACATAGGAAAGAGGATTAGCTCTACTTTGAAAGCAAAGAGGTTCATTGGAAATCTCATCAGTACATTAGTGGTGTCACTTGCAAGGTCAGAGAACACCTGCTGACTGAGCCATTAGAAGCTGGCTTTCTACAATCTGAGGAAACAGACTTTAATAAGCAGAAACCAGAGGTGCAAAATAACATGATTTTTAAAAATGTTTAAAAATGAAATGCATAAAAATACAGAAATGCACAGAATATAATTACCTTGTTTTTTTTTCTTTCTCCCTCTTCTCCTCCCCATCCCCTTCTCTCAGTAAGGTCTTACTTTGTAGCCCTGGCTGCCTTAGAACTCACTACATAGTTCAGGCTAATCTTGAACTCACAGAGATCTGCCTGTCTCTGCCTCCATAGCACTAGGATTAAAGGTGCGCATCATACCCAGCTACCTTGTTTTCTTAACATCGTATATTGCTGCTCAACCTAACTTTGACTTACACCCTGAAAGTGCATTTGCCCAACGTTATCAATTTCTCCCATGGACCACCATTTCCCTAACCATAAGACAATAAGGAAATGTGACTTGTTGGGCTAGGATCTGGAAGTTCAAGCACAGATTAAGCATCTCAATCTCCTAATGGTGTCATGATACCAAGCATGAACTTCACAGTGCCCCACCCATCTTGACTTCACTTGTGAGAGATACCCCTGAATGGGGCAATGGGTACAGCTGCCATAGCAACATGTTAAAACACTCAAGTACTATACTTTCACACTGGTAAGGAACTTTTCTCCCCCCATCTCAGATTCTCTCAGCTCCCCTCCACAGCTGCCACAAGGCAGCATCTAACAGTTCTGAGTCTCTAGGATGATGGCCAGGACACTCCTCTTCTTGGGAATTATTTCACGGACACCTCTACCATTGAACTATCTAAAGAGGTCCTTGACTGGAATATGAAGTACACAACCCTGGTGGCTGCACGGTAGAGAAAGAAACCCACCAAGCCATAAACAGGGTAATGTACAGGTACTGTATGAGGAAAGATAGGAAAGGTCTCTGTAAATGTTAGTGATCTGCCCCCGAAACCTGTTGATTTCCTCAAGTTCAGGAAGTCAGGGCACTGCTGATTCATAGAGGACAAAGGCAACCTGGACTGGTACAACAGGAGTGTTTGCCTTCATCCTCCTCCTCCACGTCTCATTTCTAAGAGCAACCACTGTGTAAAAAGTGTGGCCTCTTGTTCGAGCAGTACTTTCCAATCATTTAAGCAATCAACACTACTGCTTTAGACCATTCAGGACGAAAGACCTTGAACTTGTCATTAGTATGTAGTTTCTCGTGATCATTAAATTTCTCATAGCTCATGATAGTATTCATCACTAACCCTGTAAGATGATCAAACTTTCATCTCTGGAAAAGACCATTTCTTTCCAAGAAAAGTCCACATTTGAGGCTCTGTAGGAATTGATTCTTTGGTTGTGGTTCAGTGGGTCACATGGATGGATTCAGTGGCTACCAAGAGGGGGTGCATACACTGCCCCATGTAGGGAGTAGAAAGAGCCACACACAGTTGACAAGTGGTACAGAGTGTCTATGTGCCTGATCTAAGTTTTAAAAGCTACAAGGAGGTGGAGCCGAGACTTACATCCAAAGCTTAATTTCTACATTGGTCTCTTCCTAAGGCAAGGTGAGTCCGACTTAAATTCTTTGCTTTAGTTTAGGAAAGCAAAACACCCAATGGTATCCAGATAGGATGTTGTTGACCTCATGTTGTGTGTGACTGCTCATGGCCCTTTATTAGCCTAGAATATTGAGTAACGGGAAAGTACCAATCACAGTAAAAAAAAAAAAAAATGGAATCGTGCAAAGAAAGAGATAATCAATTCATTTTTGATATAATTTCCTAATGAATAATGTATTGCAAAAAATAAATGACCAGAAATAGGTCATTTTTCAAACATCCCACAGTGACTTTGGAAGAATACATCAAATGTCTCAAAGACTCTTTGAATCCTTTAATCTCAAGATACTCTCTAGAATATTCTGTGACTATCATTACAGATCTCATTGTCTTTGCCCACTTTCTTTGGATATTTCAAATGCCTTTTACCCAGTCTCACAAATTAAAGTCTTGAAATATGGTTACTTAGGTCACAAAGCCTTTAGATTATCCAGGTGAAACTTGCAGATTAAAATAGCAAATGCTTTCAGGAATACTTTATATTCACAGAATTGTGTTCCCAGTGCCACAGGCAACTCATCAGGTGCTCTGTGGAAGTATCCACCTGCCATGAATCTGTTATCCATATTTACAAACAAGCACGCTACAAATAATATAAAAAAATAAACTCAAAATGGCAATATAAAATCAAAACTTCCTAGGGCCAATCATCTTCTCAATTTCTCTGTAAAGGAGAGCATTTTTTTCCTTTGGAATCTAGTGTGATTACACAGCATCCAGATGGCATCCAAACCTAAGGAAAATGCACAACGCCGTCGGACGTACCTACAGAGTCAGGAAGGACACACGTGGGTGGAGAGTCAAGTGAGCCTAAAGAATGGTTGATCCTGATCCACATTGTGTAGCCAGATAATAGAAAGATCGGCTGGAAAACACATTCATAAAAGCCATCCCTCTGCAAGATGCAGTTTTTGGGCTCAGATGCAGGATGAATAGACGGACTATCGGAACAATACAGGCTGCTCCTTAAAAGACATTAAAAAGAAAACAGCCAGTTAATATGCGGTATTAATAATAGACAAGAAGACATTTTAGAACTCTGATTTGTTGTTCAAAAGAGAGAGTGTTCTCTGTATAGAAATTGATGTTTTTATTAAAAAAGACATTCTTGAGCTCCTAGCTCTATCTGGATCTCAATCTTCCCACAGAAACAGTAACCATAAAAACAATGCATGAGCATTGAGTAGTGAAGGCAATGGGAAGAGCCGACGAGAAGGTAAGTTAGAGTCTCAGGACTGGGATGGTCACAGGAGCCCATTGGTTCTCAGTCTTCCTAGCGCTGTGACCCTTTGAAACAGTTCTCCATGTTGTGGTGACCCCCGCAACCATAAAATAATTTCATCACTACTTCACAACTGTAATTTTGCTACTGTTATGAGTTGTAATGTAAGGACGTTTTGGAGATCGAGGTTTGTCAAAGGGGTCAGGACCCACAGGCTGAGAACTCCTGTTTGCATCGGTGACGTGCTTGTAGCTTGGACGGATCGGATCCAAAGTTAGGCACTCCAGGGGCGGGAGCAAAGCAGGTTCTTCTTGCGTCATAAAGTGGGTTAAATTCCAACAGAAGTGAGAATACGGCTGCTGGGATATTTGGCTTGACCAGTAGTGCCCTGATGCTTTCTAGTTCAAACTGATGTAATTAAAATAATGTCAAATCCTGATTCCTATGTGAATGGTAGTGAAATACATTACTCATTTTCTCAGAAATGAATTCTTTCAAACATGAGAAGTCTCAACAAACCTACTTTCCTCTTTTAGAAATGGTCCTTCTGATACCACTGTTTGCTCTGAAAATGTATTTAACTGGCTAAAGCTCTGACTGCTCTCTCCAGGGATGAAAATGAGAAGGAAAAAGAGAACGAAAAGACTAAAATCTTTTCTCATTTACCATCTTTGCAATATTTTCTCCTCGAGGTTATCAAGGTGTGTGTGTGTGTGTGTGTGTGTGTGTGTGTTCAGATAATTAATGGTGAGAGAAATACAGAGGGATATGTAATCATCATTGGATAGAAACTAGCAGTGTAGAAACACAGCCGAAGGTCCACCTTGGAACGATTACCATCACCATCATGACAGCAATAACCACGTACCGATTGCGCCAATGGGATGTTCCTAGATGTTGTATTACTTAATTACAATGAAAGGAAATGCCATTAATTCCCCCTAGAAACCATATAAATCATAGCATTTTCTCCATTTTACAGACAAGGAAATTAACATGCGAGAGGATCACAAACTCACTAAGTATTTGCAGCTGGTCACGCGAGGACCCTGTGAATGTCAGGAGGATAAATGAGCCATGAGGCTTATAAAATGGTCTTCAGCAAGCATGCATGTGCATGTGGAAACACACGGAAAGGCATATGTAATTACAACAGCCTAGTAACGTTCAACTTTCCACTGGCTTAAAAATATTCATAGCAGATAGGATAAAGACAATAATTCTTCTCACTTAAGAAATGCAGAAATTGACATTTTTTTCTTCCAACCCTGCAGAGGAGTCAACGCAGAACATGAGGGACAGAGTTCAGATCACAGTATTTGACTCTGTGATACATTTTTCGAGCTGAAATTTTTAATTTTAAGAAGAAACGGGCACATTGTAGAAACTAAGATTGTCCGATACAAATGTCAATATGAGAGCTTAGAGTACAATAGCAGCAAGCGTGCTTGCTGACCACCATGGGGTCCTCTAAAAGCCAGGACGCGTTTATCTGCTCAACAACGAGATACACTTTAGGACACACGCTATGTTGAGACAAGGGAAATACTGTATGGAGATGTCTCAAATTTTTAAGCAAAGAAAGGTAAAAATAAATAAACACACAATGCTCTTTATTATTAGTTATTAATCTCTTACCCCTAATTAACTACTGTTTGCTTCCTAACTTAAGTCACTTTGTTCTAAAAGAGTCACATCTTGTAGGATCTGGCCCTTTTGCCTCTTTTTCCTAAAACACTTATTACTTGAATGACAATCAACTCTTTTTTGTCACGGCTCCCTTTCGGCCATTCTTGGAGCCCAAATACACTGCATAGGAAATAAGTCTCATGTCTCCCTTGCATGTCACTCAAAGACTCAAAATGCAATCCCAAGAAACTGTTTGGCAGACATGACAATATGAGGTTAAAGCACAATATATATTATACATATAATATAATGTAATATAATATAATATAATATAAATCTCAGGTGTGAATGTTTTCAAAGATTACAATTTATGTAATTCCTCAGAAATTTTCTAGCAAATTAAATTCAAACTTCTGCTCAGGGAGAAAAAAAATATGTCAGATGTCTGCTATGGTAATATATAACTGGCCCTGCCCAGAGGAAAACCAAGAAGCAAATCTAAGACGTACCTGTGATACCTCAGCTGCACAGTGCTTCCCACAAGTGATTGGATTGTGCTGGGTGACCATCTGCAAGTCATTTTAGTTAAGTACCCGTCAGTTTCACATGATATATTGATATTGACATCTATTTAAAACACATTAAAATATTAATACAAAGTACAAACACCAAAAAAAGTATGAAAAACATTTTCTGTAGTAGGACTCTAATGCAGTCCGTGACAACGAGTGATCTCGTGGGGGCAGAATGAACAAGGCCTTGGGGTTCTTACCGATCACATATAACTCGGCGTAGCGGTGGTGACACTCCTGCCCACTGCAGCAGTACACTGCATCATAGGCAAACTTCCCGCGGGGTCTGGTGGCTTTCAAGTTGGAAAAAGTAACTTTGCTAACACGGCCATTCACAGCACTATACTGGATTTCCGGGATTTTCTCGGCTAGATTCAGCCACCAAACTATCTGTTTGGAGGAAACTATTTGGTTTTCATTCTTGTAGATGCAATGGAAGGAAGCATTCGATCCGACACTTGTCAGAATTTTGGGCGGGAAGTACATGACATCTGTAACACAGGAAGAAAAGCGGGCATTCAGACGGGAACGGAAACCATCCTGTGAGTAGCCAATACCACAGCAAAGAGATCCCCATATTCCTAGTTACCCTGCCAGCCTCAAGTCAATGTACTGAGAAACTGACTGACACTGTGGACAGCCCCTATAGCCCCAGGAACCCCTGTTCTCAAGTGAACAGGACCTCCAGGAACACCACGACAAGCTTCTGAACATGGGGCTTATCAACTGTTGTAGCAACTGTCGTTGAAATGAACTCAAATGGAGTATCATTTATCATTTCCACAATGATACATTTTCTACCAGACTATTAAAACTGAATGTGCACGTGTGGGCACAAAACAAAAATAAGTAAGTAAATAAATACCTGTTACAGGAAAGAGAAGAAGCAGTGAGGAGGCTTAGCGGGTAAAGTCTGACTTGCCACCAAGTCCGAGGACCTGAGTTCTGTTCCCAGGACTGACATGATGGAGTGAGAGAATTAACCACAACAAGGTGTTCTCTGAACTCAGCATGTGCATTGCGACATGTGTGTGCATGCAACATCAGGAAACTTTTAATTTCAAGAGAATCGGTGAGACATAGCTTGCATCGTGTTATCACGATGATACAAAATCCTAATGGGAAGGGGGTTGTTGTTATTGTCTTTTAGTCATACGTATGAAAGTTTCTAATAAACAGGTAAAGAAATGGGTCAAATGGCTGACCCTGTAATATCATGCTAAATTTACTGCAATGGTTTGTACATGGACTCTCCACATTGGACACTTGGACTGAGTGTATCTATGGCAAACAGAAACAGGACGGCAGCGGGCAGACGCACTAGACTATGGGTACCTCAAGGACATGCAGCCTTCACTACTGACCTGTGCCTGTCGCACACCCAAGAGATGGCTAACTCCACTCGGTGAGCTCCGCAACCTCACTGCCGAACTGTCTCAAAGCCTCCGAGTTGCTGTTATTTTCTACAGAGGCACAGAGTGACTTTCATCAATTGAGGCTTTTCATTTACAAATTACTTTTAAAGCCTCAAGGTATTTTAGTTCAACATCTAATGCATCTAGTGAGGCTTAGTTGAGAAATAAAGTTAAGATACATATGGCTGTGACAGACTAAAGGCTTTAACACAAACATTAAAAGTGACAATCTATAAATTTATTCTAAAAATTGATAAAACATATGAGATAAACAGTGAATACTTAAATACTATCCAAATTTTAGCCTGAGGAATGGAAAAGCCACGACTTTTACTTTATGTGACCGAAACCCACTGATAACTTTACAATATATACATTAATGAATTTTATTAAAAGGAGATGGTCTAGTGATAATATTGTTATGGATTTCTCAAAAGAATATAGGCCACAAATCAAAGCATTTCTAGGTAAATGCTTTGATTTTAGAATGTGTTTATCACGGGCCCCAACATGGACTGTTTAATTCTAGGAGCAGATGCACTGAGTTTTCTGTAAAGGGGAAACATGGATCCTGCCTAATGGAGATGATTTGTGATTCAGTCTGCATCACCTAGCCATTGTGTCAGCACAGTGGATGGTACTGTAAAGAGAAATATTTGGGGAGCTACTTAAGTGGGCTAGTTTCTGTTTCCACTGCAAGCATCTTAGTTTGTTTCCCTTATTGTGAGTTTCTTTCTCTTAATCCTCACCTACTAGCCCTCAGAGGCAGCTAAGCTGCCTGAGATCACCAGGAAGCACTATGGCTGAGACTTTAAATGTCCCCAAAGGTCCATAAGCTAAAGGCTGGGACACCAGCCTGTGCTACTATTGGGATCTATAAAACCTTCATAAGGGACAGTCCCATGGGAGGAGCCAGGTCATTTGGAGGATGCCCTTGATAGGGACAGTGGGACCCAGGCTCCTTCTTCATTTCTTTTTGCTTTCTGGCAGCAGTGAGCTAAACAGACCTTCTCTCCTGCAGGTTCCCACTGTTGGTGAACTGTGATATCACAGGCTTAAAGCAACAGGGTCAAGGTTAAAACCTAAAATAGGAGCCAAAGTACATTTTTTTAATCTTATGAAATTAAGCTTGGGGGTAATTTTGACTAGAAGGTGCTATTTAATCACTTTTTTTTTCTGTTCAAGGTGTCTGAAGTCTAGAGATACACCCGAGTGATAACTGACAGTCTAGCTACTAATAGTCACGTGGTTGCCTACTGCACAAGCTAAATGATAAGGTTGTGTGTGTGTGCTTTATAATATCTGACTATGTCGGGGCACAGGGGTCCCCCAACATGAACAAGAAATGTCAGTCATGCAGGGGTGTCTCCTCAGTGGAGGAGATGCAAATCAAATACCTGTCTTCCACCCAGAAAGCTGAGAGTGGAGGGTCATAACAACCTGCTGGTCTGTTTGCTGTCTGAAAGGGCAGACCTCACCCTAATTCCCCAGAATGGTTATCCCAGACTCTTCCCTCCCTAGACTGTTACCCGTCCTTAGGGGAGATGTCACGAGTACTTTATGGTGTGATGGCCTCTATGCTATCAGAGAATACTCTAGACTCTAGGTCTTCTAGCTGTAGACCCCACCCTCCTGGTCACATGTACTTTGTAAAAGAGTCTCTATGTAGTCACCCCTTAAGCTTCAGTGTGCACCTGGAGTTGGACTGATTGTTGCCTGGAAACCTCTCCCCAATTGTACCATGTTTTAAGCATCCTGACAATGAACGGTCTGGTATTAGACTCTCTGAAGTCTGATTCAAGCTGACAAAGTCAATCTCCACTGGGTTTTCATTCTTATCTCTTGGTGTAGTTTGCGTCCCTGTATGTCACCTGGAGGGCCTCCCACATGACTATAATATATAAGAATGCAAAATATGAGCTGACATTTGAAAAAAGCAAGTAAATTTAAACTTGCAGATATTGACATACATTGTAAAGAAAAACAGAACTAAAACCATATCCATCTAAAGACTTAAATTGAATGAGAACAAATATTTGGCAAAATGTAACCAATCATTGTACTATATGAAGTTTCCAGACAAGCTTTTATATTCAGCCTTGAATCCTAGCAAACTTTGAAAAACAACATTGATTCTTCTAGGGCTGTCTCTTTTTCTTGAAGGGGAAGTTTTAAATTTTAATTATGAAGTAAAACAAGAAAATAAAGCAGCATCTGTCTATGGAAGCTAAGCGCATTGCCCTGTGGCTAATAAAGACAGACTTTCAGTGTGTGTAGGCATGGGGGGGCCTTCTCCTTCCTTCACACAGTTTCCTTCTTCCTCCAGACCTGACCCCATCACAGCACACACCACCTGGGATACTGTGGTTTGTATTTCCCCCATGTGACTCCATAGGGCACAGCTAGTCAGTAAGACCTGCTGGTAGAAGACAATGTTTCCCTTGAAAATGTTTCCTTTGAACCACAAAGTTCAAAACCTGATTTACCAGCATCCCACTACACATATAGAAGGTTATTTGAAGAATAAACACATAAAATCGCCATCTAAATCTCCTCGTGCCAAATGCCTGAGTTTCGCATACTGAACTAATTGTCCAACACTCGGTTTAGCTCACTCTCACGATCTTACTTTGTGTGAAGCAGCTAGTGTCGATCTTCCCATCTCTTTTGGTTTTGAGATTCTGAACATGTAGGCTGTGAAGTCATAAACTAAAATGACATCTGATAGTTACCGAATGTCTGTTATGAGTCAGGTGCCATACCACACACTTCACTGTGCTATTTCGCCATATAAAAGCCGTCCAGATGAAAACATCCTGATCTTACAGACAAGGAAACTGGGGCAGAGAAAGGTGAAGAACCTCTTCAAAGAAATCATAATGATGATCCTTGTATAAACTGGCAGACTCCAAAATCAGTGCTTCCAGACAATAAGAGAAACAATGAATAAATGGGATCTACTGAAACTGAGAAGCTTCTGTAAAGCAAAGGACACTGTCAGTAGGACAAAAAGGCTGCCTTCTGACTGGGAGAAGATCTTCACCAACCCCTCATCAGACAAAGGTCTGATCTCCAAAATATACAAAGAACTCAAGAAACTAGGCACTAAAACTCTAATTAACCCAATTAAAAAATGGGGCACTGAACTGAACAGAGAATTCACAACAGATGAACTTCGAATGGCCAGAAGACACTTAAGGTCATGCTCAACCTCCTTAGCAATCAGGGAAATGCAAATCAAAACCACTTTGAGATACCATCTTACACCTGTCAGAATAGCTAAAGTCAAAA